AGAGGGAAAGAGGGAGAGAGGGGGAGGGAGAGAGGGAGGGAGAGAGAGAGAGAGGGAGAGGTCTGTCTGTCTGTCTGTGTAATTTCCTGTGGTAGATGAAAATCCGCGAAGTAGCGGCATTATATTTATTTTATTATTTATATATATTTAAGGCTTTATAAACCCTTCCCACACTGTTATGCCTCTCTCCTCTCTACTGTTGTGCCTCTCGCACAGTGAAGGCTGAACATGAGCACCAGTGACCCCCCGCGACCCAAAAAGGAAGAAACGGGTAAAAATAACTGATGGATGGATAAATAATTTTAAATTATTTAGCACCTGGTAAACCTGTTGGAACCTGTTGTTCCTGTGTGCAGCCCACACTGCAAGAGAAGCTTCTTTGTGCAGCATGTTATATATCCGCTGCAGCACGGAGAAGTGGGCGTGGCCAAGAGGCAGGCAGATGGCAGAGTGCAGCTGAGACAGAGAGCTGAAATCATTACTACTTTGCGGTTTTTCACTTATCGCAGGTCTTCAGGGTACAGATCCCCTGCGTTAAACGAGGGACTACTGTATTGGTATTGCAATGATGATTGAATTGAATTGAATGATCAATTATCTCTATTGTGCAGCCCTAATATACCAATACACTAGTTTAAAAGAGTTTATGGACATTAATTTCAATTCATTTATTTATATAGTGCCAAGTCACAACAGAAGTTGTCTCAGGGTACAAAAACAAAAACATTGTACAAAACCATTCACATACATTATAAAAGCCAATTACTAAAAGTTCTCTATCTACAGAAGTCAGCAGATTGCATTGAATCTTCACATTGTTGCAGTCTCCCATTCTGAGTAAGCACAAAGGCAACAGTGGAAAGGAAAAACTCCCTTTTAACAGGAAGAAACCTCCAGCAGAACCAGAATCAGGACATGCATCCATCTGGTTCGACTGGCTGGGTGTGAGAATTCAAAACCAAAATATTTATCAAGGTTGTACATTTTAAGTAAAAACACTGAATTTGCCTAGTAATTATTAGATTATCCGTTGAGTTACAGATTAATGTTCTAGTCCACTTCTATCAGTTTTGTCTAATCCCCCACCTATCAGTCAACTTTACAAACTGAAAACAATGTGTGCTTATTATGGCATTTGCTCATGCAAGGCTAATTAATACAGCACAACACACTGTGAGAGCAGAGAAAACAGTCTTAATGAGAGCTAATCTCAGCCACTGCGTCATGTTGCCTGGTTCATATTTTTGCTAAGAAATTAATCAAAGGTCACTTGACTTGCTCTAAGTCCTGAAAACCCCTCTAATGAAACAGAGACTTGTTCTACTGCTAAACCTGCTAGCGTTTTAAATTTTTATTTTCATTTGTCCATTGGATCAACTTGGAGTGGAGATGCTCATCTGTCTGTAAACCTGAACTCACTCGTGACCATATTTTCCATCTTTTAATCTTTTCAAAATAAACTACAATGGCAGAAACGGACTCCGAGGATACTTCCAAGTTTTTTTCGTTCTTTTTCCTGGGAAGGGTGGGTGATAAGTGTTCTGATGAATTAAAGCTTTGTTAGGAAGCAACTTTGCTAACCACTACCAGGTACCAGTGTAAACAAACAAACAAATAAAATAGACGTCCATTATGGTCTTGCTAATTGACCCATTTTAATTTAGCAACAGCATTCAGTTGAAAATAAGAAAATAGTTGCTGCTCACTGTAATAGAATATCAGTGCTATACTGGTCAGCAGTGTTGCTTTAGGTTTTGATGAAATAGAATTAAATACTGAATAATCCAAGACGTGTAAGGGAGACAAATAGGACTAGAGGTGTAAAGTCAAAAACTGATCAGCTGTTTTTTTTCTATAATAAACGTGTAGATTAGGTGTACAGGCTAAAGCAACAAGGCAACATGAAGTGCATTATACAATTAAAATAAACATTTGATAAAGTGCTAAAGAACAATAAAAGCATATAGAAAGATAAAAAGGTTAAAGAAAAAACAAATGCAAGCTCTCATTAAGAACTGAAATCAAATATAAATTTTATATTTTTTTTACTATAATGAAAGGCAGCAGTGAATAGGACGGTCTTCAACCTGGTTTTAAAGGAACCCACAGTCAGAGCTGTCCAGCAATTTTCTGAGAATTTGTTCCACGTATTTGGTGCATAAAAGCTGAAAGCAGCTTCGGCATGTTTGGTTCTGACTCTGGGGACAGAAAGCAGTTTTGATCCAGACGACCTCAAAGGTCTCGATGCGGCACAAGATCAGAGATATATTTTGGACCTAAACCATTTAATGCTTTATAAACCAGTCTAATGAGCCACGTTGTTTTGTTTTCTCTGCAAAAATGATCTAATCTAACAGTTTTTTGTTTTTTTTACAAACAAGGTTACTTTCTTTTAATGTCCTTAAATCACTTTCCGTCAGGCTTTGACAGAATGTGATATAACTTTCAGTCAAAAGCTGACAGAAAGTTATATCTCTTATGTTTGTTCATAATTTTGAACTTTATAAGCCATTTACTAATGGTATTTAGGTAATGTGGATCTCTGATTCTGTCTTTAAATTTAAAAGCTTTACAACAAATCTAGATTTAACTTTAAATAATTCAAACGGCAATAATCAAAAAATGAATCTTATTTTAAACCCAGAAGTCTGTATATACCGTATCTGTGTGTCTATGTTGGTGTGTGCGTTTAATCTCATATTCCTTAACAAACTAAAACATTTGTCAGATGTACGTCAGATGCACTTGTTTTGTTAACCCTAGCCTGATAAAGAACCAAACTGAAAGGTCAGAGGAACAATCTGAAAACACTAAAAGACATTTTGTTACTCTTTAAAAATGACTTCTTTTTTTTTTGCAATATATTGAAGCAGCATCATTTAAGACATGCATGGTGAGACAAAGACAATTATAAAATGGAACAAATCATGTACCAGAAATTACATGGAAGTTCTGGTGTATTCCAAATCTTACTTCTAACATACAAAGACCTCAACAACCTAGCTCCATCTTATATTACAGATCTTATTGTTCCATATTTTCCTAACAGAGCACTTTGCTCTCAGACTGCAGGCTTACTTGCGGTTCCTAGAGTTTCCAAAAGTAGACTGGGAGGAAGATCTTTCAGGTATCAGGCTCCTCTCTTGTGGAACCAACTTCTAGTTTCTGTCCATGAGGCTGACACACACTCCAATAAATTAATCATTGACTTAACATGTTTTTTTCTTTTCAACAGTTTCCACAAAATTGTATTTTATTAGTTAAAAGCAAAAACATATAGAAATCTGACTTTATGACCTTGTGTTTAACTAAGATAAAATTAATGAATTAACCTAAATACTTCAAATCACTTCATATTGACAAAAGAGAAGTTAGTTAAACTAACTATACTTTTTTGTGTTAGTTTGACAAAGTAAACATTCTTTCTGTGAACATATTTTGCTTTTTTAAATAAATTACGTTACCTTAACTTAAACCCAGCCGGTCGAAGCAGTTGGCCGCTTGTCCTGAGCCTGCTTCTGCTAAAGGTTTCTTCCTCAGGAGGGAGTTTTTCCTTTCCACTGTCACCTTCATGCTTGCTCAATATGAGAGTCTGTGATGGAGTTAAACTCAAAGCAGTCTGCTCCTCAGATAAATAATGTTATTAACTGACTTTTTACATATATGAATATTTCTGTTCATTGCCCTGAGATGACTTCTGTTGTGACTTGGCATTAAATAAATAAACTGAATTGAATTGAATTGTTGTGTCTTTGACAGTGAATTTTACTATATAATGGTAAATAACAGCAAGACTGAAAAGAAGTTACAATAAAAACATGCAAATGCATTAATACAATCTGCATAAATGATCAACAAAGGCTAGTAAGCATAGTTTTAACCTTGAAATAGCATAATGGTGATAGTAGAAATATGATTATAAAAATGACAAAGACATATCACATTAAATATTCCAATAAAGTTAAAAACCTCTGTGATTAAACACTTATCTGGGTGTGGACTTGCATGGTTGGAATTGGGAGTTTTACGGCACTTTACTGTTTGCATTTTCTGTTTTCCAGTGCAACCATTAAGTTTTTGTCAGTTTTTCTAAAAATATTTACATATTTCTTTTCCTCTGTGCCTCTTTTCGTCATTTCTTCATTTTTCTCTGTTTTAAAGGTGAGCAGCCATTCAGAGCCTTCCTCCCAGTCCCTGAGCCTCCAACAACCATCCCAGCCTCCTCTGCCTCCCCCTCCTCCCCCGCAGCCTCAGTTTGGGTTATCTGTCCCGGAGTCACGGGACAAGCTGCTCTGTTTCTCAGACTTCGAGGACCTCAGCGCTTCTTTCCGCGGTCTTTACAAGTGCATCTTTGAGCAGCCCTTTTCACAGCCAGGTGGGTGTCAGCCCTCAGTGTGGATCATAAGAAAGAGTCTGTGTGAACAGGAAAACATTTTGTAAACCTCTTGTCAGGCTTCATGCTCATTGTTAACTGGCACGCTTAAACTCACATCGCAGTTCACACAATTTATCTGTTGCTTTCACAGGCAGCATTTCAGCATTAACCTCCACCAAACGCTACTCCTGCGCTGTTGTATTTAAATAAACAAACAACCCGTTGTTCCGCATATCTGCATTTTACGACTCGCACAGTCAAATGAGTAAAGGCAATTAAGAGTAAGACGCCAACAGGAGGAAAACATATTTAGCCGAGCAGAGAAAGGAGTTCTGCAGCTTTGATAGCAGCTAATTAGATTGCTTCTAAAGTTTGTGAAGCATCTCTCTAATTGCTTCCTGAAGCTTTCAGGTCACCAGGCCTCCTCCCTCTTGGAGCCAACCACCACCATTCCACCACCCCCTACTACCTTGTTCCTCTAACTTTACTCTCCCCACACACATCTGTGAATTTGCAACTGAGGAGACTGATGCGCTCTGTTGAGCTCCACTGCCTGGATTCACCGTCTGACAGGGTCGCCTTCAGTTTGTGGTTAGGGACGGGAAGAATAAAAACTGATCCAGTGAGAAGGATAGATGAGTACAAGACAAAAGTCGTCTCAAAACACTGATATAGATGGAAAATTATGATTTGACTCTTGAAGGAGGTTTTAACTGAGAGGTGAAGTAGGAAACAACTTGAGCAGTTTTGTTGACTCTTTAAGTTACAATGTTTTAGCAGCCCATTGTCTTTTTTATTTTATTATTTTTTCTTCTTTCAGTTGCTCCCTTCTTTAAGGGTCACCACAGCGAACTAACTCGCATGAAGACTTGGCAGTTGTTTTTATGCCGGATGTCCTTCCTGACGCAACCACAGACCACTGAGCTACCACAGCCCTCTGTGTGGAGCAGAGAGCTGCTATCTAGGTTGCCCAGGGGAGCAGATGATTGGGGTTAAAGGCCTTGCTCAAGGGCTCAGAGTGCGGCAAATGAGGGTGGAGACAAATGTGGGTGTTTCACCTTTCCCACCCACATTTTTCGCAAAGTTGAACTGACAACCTTCTAATCATAGCCCCACCCTCTCGAACCTCTGCGCCACCACTCCCCTAGCCCATTACCTTTTTATTTTTTTAGAACAAGTTCAAAACCCCTCAGTAAACTAGCTGGCTCAGGTGGTGTTGCCATGTCACAGCAGGACAAAACTACCTAAAAATGTCGCATTCAGAACTCATAAATTGGATGAAAGTAAAAACCCAGAGAAAAAACAAACAAACAAACAACAAAAAAGATAATTTTCAAAAACTAAAAGCTAAAAACATGCTGAACCTTTAGCTAAAATTAACTAAAGGTAGCAACAAAAAGTTTGATGTGTTTTTATAATGTATTTATACAAGGATTTTTTTAAATAATTACCTATTTTGAATAATATAAAGTTCAAAACAACCATAAGCCATTGCTCCCTTCTTGTGAACGAGCTCAACTTTTTGACCTACAGTAAAATACATGGAAAACAATTGTCTGAAAGCTGACTCAGCGTTTACATGATAAACCAGCTTATACGGTTTTGTAATGACAGAGACGAGAAACATTTACAGAACACATCTAACGGTATGTAGGAAAAGAACTGCTCCTAAAAACACTTGTAAGAAGGTAAAGGTGTGACAGCTCCCTTGTGGCAGCAGAAAAACTCAGCTTCATGATCATTTTGTTGTGATTTGTCTGAGCGAAAAGATAAAAAAAAGGATTCTTTACATCACTGTCAGCCTTTTCTTTCCTTTTGGGTAAAAAAAATTGGAAAATGGTAGATGAAAAATTAATTTAATACAAGGCTGTACTGCAGGATGGTAGTTTCTGAAAGGCCCCTGGAGCTCCATGTACTCCATGTTTGTTTGTGTTTGAAATGAAGGTAGATCTGTTTTATTTTGAAGGTTTTCAAGCATGACACGGTCTATTATCAAAACTAAAATTCATTCATTTGCATTGCAGTGTCACTTATTAAAGTGAATCTGTTTATTTTACAATTGATAGTTTAAGTAAAAGTAAGAAAATGTTAAATTTAATTTGCCCTGCTGTTCATCTTTTCATAGTTTGACACTGTGGGTGTATAGGCATGAGTCAGGAGCAAAACAGTAACACTCTGAAGTTATTAGTTTCTGTGCTCATCTGATTGTTTATTTTCTTGCATCTTTTTTTAAATTGTTATTTTTATTTTTGGGCAGGCTTGATGAACATGTCGAGTGACTCCAGTCAGGCTCGGACCACTTGCTCCTACCAGCACTCTCCTAGTGCAGGAAGCAGCAGCGCCCACCACCACCAACACAACCACGGCCAGACGTCGCACCACGCTCACCACCCTCACCTGTCCCCTCACCGGCACCAGGTGCACGGCCAGCACCAGCAGCACCCTTCTCTGTCCCACCAGAGTCACGGAGTTCAGACCCGCTCTACAACAGGTAATACAAATAGCAGTTGTGCTTTGATTCTGGTTTAATCAGAATTCCTGTTAATAAATTATAAAACTTTACATTTCTGACTCTGATTTTAAATGATTCAGATTTTATCAGACATGAACAAACAAAACAAAAGAATACCAGCAGATGGAAATGAAAAGTAAATAGGCTGATTTACTACAACATTAGATTCTGGGTCTGCATAACTCAACTACAAAGATAAACTTGTGCAAATTCAAATAATTTTAAATGTATTATTCAATGCAGCTTTATTTATATACAGTAGCGCTGTTCAAACTCCAATGAAACTCTAAAGTGCAGAAGAAATGAAACATCACTTAAAAACAAACGAGCTTTGAAATACCACAATTTAAAATTAAGAATTAAGAAAATATATATACAGTAAGATTAGTAATGGAATGGAAAAAATAGATGTATACAGAAAAAATACAAGTTAGTACAAATTAGAGCAAAAAAGTTAAAAATAAACTGTAGGTGCCGAGGGCAGTGCTTTGCCACTTTTGTCTTTAACAAAGTTTTTCAGGACTCAGCATTTTTAATTTTCAGAAAATGCCATTTCTGTAGTTATTATCGCATCTAACACTGATAGACATGTAACAGCCATGTTATAAATTGGCCAGACTATTTATTTATGTATTTATTTTTAAAATTTTTGCAAATGCTTACCTGTATAGTTGGCTAATCTCCAGTCTAATCAAAATTTCTGATTTTATCTATGATACTCTCTTAGTCTTAGCTTATTTAGCTAATAAGACCTAGAGCAAATATTTTCCAATGATTAAAAAAAATAATCCCCATACATACAGTAAATGCATTATGCACAGCGTGATAAGTATAGAGTTGTCTGGGCTTTCCCTCAACAATCAAAACTTCTGTGTAAACAAATGCCACAGTGGTCACGTACTGTCTGCCCGGTGGCCAAATCAGGCCCATGGGAACCCCCGTTTGAGAGCTACTGGTTCACTAATCATCAGTGAAACTGTTCTTCTAAATCACCTCTATGTGACAGGGCTCTCTTGTACACGAGTCCTTGTGGCTCCATGAGACTAACCTGTATAAATAAAGGTTGAACGAATGAATAACATAATTAACTATTTTCACTGAATTCAAAATTTTGTCACATTTAATCACACACACACACCTGTAACAAGTTACAAATCTGTCCCTAGCTTTTAGAAAAAGACACTCCTTACGTTGTAGTTTTCCAGTAATAGTTGGAAATGAAATGGTTGACTACTTTGGCATCATTTTGTGGTGTCGTTTTGTTTGTAGTGGCACCCCAGTGTTCAACTTGGAATAGCTCCACTCCAGCATATTGTTGAGGGGAAAAAAATCACACTGTTTCTGAGTTTTGACGAGCTGAACGGCTTCACAATCCATGAAACTTGATTACTGTACTATTCTCCTTCACATCATAATTCACAAAGACTAAACACAAGCATCAGAGCAGATACATGCTATAACACTCATTTAGTTTACTGTAATATTCTAGTTTTACAGCTTTAACTTGTTAACGAACTGCTTTAAATATGCACAGTAAAATATTACATAACTACTGCGCACTAGCAGTGGATGTAACATCATGCAGTGTGTTGGAGCCTCATTGACAAAGTGTTCATATTTCTTCCATTCTGTTAACACACTATATATAATGTTATGATTAGGACTTTTGGGCCTTGGTGCTCAATATACCTAATTACAGGTATACCGATGTATCTGATTCTGTTGGAAAAACACCAACGGATTTTGTTCAGTGAAGCAGTACAGCACAATCAATGCTTCTACATCTGCTAATTCCCAAAGCTACACTGTTGTAAAGAGTCCATCCAGCACATAAACCCATATGTGCACTGATATATTACATTTATAACATATTATTTTCCCCATCAGGTCCCAGAATACAGCATCTAATATTGTGAAGCTGGGTGAATACAAATCTTCACCAAGGATTCTCCTGCTCATGTTGCCAGTCGGTCCCTTTTTTCCTTCCTTTTGTACATCCTTGCAACATTATTTATGTTGGTTGTATTTCTCTTAACCCAGCTGATGTTTAATTAAATCAGTCCCTCTTTAAGTGATGTACTGCTTAAGAAAAGTACATAATTATACCCCCCCCCCCCCAAAAAAAAAACAAACAAAAAAACACTTATTTTTTCTCTCCAATACAAATTTGTTTCTTCAGTTTCTCCCATGGGACCTCATACCACCTTGTGGCTGTTTGCAAAATAGACAGAGTACATAATTTGCAAAATAGAGTACATAACATCCTAATATCTCCATCTCTGCCACCTTCAACTCTGCATCCTGTTTTCTTTGTTGTCGGGGCAGTTTATCACTCTTTCACTCATCCACTCATTTGCTTTTGCTGTCTTGCTGAATTCTAAGAGTTTGCAACTAAGCAACCAGTGAGCAGTGAGCCCTATGGACATGTTTCACACAGACATTTTATTTGAAAAATCATGGCCTAGATTTGCATGCAAGGCACTCACAACTGAATTCTAGGCTGTGCACATTATTTTGTTGCCCCCCATCGTACCAAACATACCATAGTCCATACCATACCAAAAATACCATACTGTACTGTACCATACCATACCATACCAAACATACCATACCATACCATACCAAACATACCACAGTCCATACCATACCATACCAAACATACCATAGTCCATACCATACCAAACATACCATAGTCCATACCATACCAAAAATACCATACTGTACTGTACCGTACCTTACCATACCATACCATACCAAACATACCATAGTCCATACCATACCAAAAATACCATACTGTACTGTACCATACCATACCGTACTATACCATACCATACCATACCATACCAAACATACCATACCATACCATATCAACTTTATTTATAGAGCACTTCAAACACCCACAGGACCAAAGTGCTGTACACATAATAAAACAATCATACAGTCAAATAATAAAGAATGATTAAAATAATTAAAAGTCAACATTACAGATGGTTTCAAAGGCCAGAGAGAAGAGATGGGTTTTAAGAATGGATTTAAAAACGGACAAGGAAGAGGCCTGTCTGATGTGACAGCCAACATGGCAGCCACCCGTTGTTTATGATTTAATCTACTGGAGAAAACTTTTGAAATAAAGATAGATTTGCACAAATTTTTAAATAAATAATATTCATCATCTGTGAGGATTTTAAACCTAGTTGTATTCACAAAAATTTTTGTCATAGAGTGCCCATGCCAGTGTCATATGCAACGCTAGCTCCCTTGAGTTTGAAAATAATTAAATTAGATAGGATTTAAGATGTCACAATAGTTCTGACTCTTGAGAGAAAAATAGTGGCACAAATCTTTTAATTATATTCAAAATTTAAATGACAAAACTGTGAGTCTCAGAACTTGCTTGGGAAATCTGAGAACCTCAATAAAAGTTTTAAGACATTTTGGAGACTCCTTCACAAATTCCATATGCCAACTAGACACCAGCAGCTGCAGCCCAGTGAGGTAATACCATTGGTGCCACCATTTCTAAATCATACATCATAGCAGGTCCCACTACCATCTTACAAATCCTTATGTTCACTTCCACAGCTATCTTTCTGACACAAATTACTTCAGATACTCATCTTCTCCCTGTCTGCACTCTCTTCTTTTCAGGGCACACCTCCACTTCTCCAGGCTCTCTTCCACTTGCTCCCTGCTCTCACTATGTCACAATCACAGATCACGTGTCATCAGCAAACACAATAAACTATTGGGAGCACTGTCTGATCTCACCTAAAAACCAAACACTGACTTTAAAAATATTAATTCACATCTTTAAATTGATTGGCATTACTTTGTTTCAACATTTTAGAAAACGACAAACTTATTGCTAAATATTAGAAAAAGCATATCTCTATTAATTCAAGGCAAACGTGGCTCAATAAGCTTTATTTTCTTTTATTATAATTCAATTGCTCAAACAGTACTGAGAAAAGCCTGGTCATCCAATATTACCAAGTCAGTATCTAAGTGGAGCACGTGTGTAACAGCGTTCTAAAAAAATTAAAACTTTGAACTTGCATATCTACCAAAACAAAGCATGGACGTGAGGAAAACGATTGGAAGGATAAGAAAGTAAAAATGAAAAACTTTCAGTTCACTCACAGTGCCACTTGGTATGCTCACATTTAAATGCAGCATATGCACATTAGAAAAGCTTTAATTTGGTTAATATTTTAAGTAAATTTATGCAAATAATTATAATCTGATGTTTTTAATGAACATTTTACTTTAAACCTCTTAAGACATTCAAATAAAAAACATTACTTTTAGTGCTTCGGGGTAAAATTTCGTCCATTAATTCCCTTTAAAGCTGTCAAGCTGAAGTTTACATGTGACAGTTTGTCACTGAAGTTATCACCATTTTATCTGTGAAGCTCTTTGGTTAATTGTTTTGATCATTTGTGGTCAAAAGGTACATTTCCTAAAATGTTGCTCTTGGGGATGAAGCTTACCATACCATACCACTTTATTTATAAAGCACTTAAAACAGCTACAAGGCCAACCAAAGTGCTGTACAGACAAAACAACAGGTAACACACCAAGCAAAATACAAAATGAGGTAAATCAGAATATAGACAAAAAATGATGCAGATAATGACGACAAGCCAGTGTGGAGCATACAGGATCAAAACACAGATCATCTGGTGTTGAAAGCTACTGAATAGTAGTGAGTTTTTAAACGGGACTTGAAAACTGAGAGGGAGGGGGCCTGTCTGACAAGCAGAGATAACTCGTTCCAGAGTCTTGGTCCTGCTACAGAGAAGGCCCTGTCACCTCTCCGCTTAAGACGAGTTCCTGGAACTGTGAGGAGCAACTGGTCCGCTGACCTCAGGGAGCATGGTGGGACATACGGTTGTAGCAGATCAGAGAGATGGGGGGGCGGGGGCGGGGGGAGAGAACACTATTCAGTGATTTGTAGACATACATGAGTATTTTGAACTGGATTCGAAAGTGAACCGGTAGCCAGTGCAGGGAGGCCAAAACTGGTGTAATGTGCTCTCTTTTGCCTGTACTGGTTAAAAATCGGGCTGCTGCATTCTGGACCAGTTGTAGTCGTGCAATGGAGGTCTGACTGATACCAAACAGGAGTGAATTGCAGTAATCAAGCCTAGATGTAATGAATGCATGTATTACTGTCTCCAGGTTCTTTTTGGACAATATGGCCTTCAGTTTAGACAGCCGCCTCAGTTGGATGAAGCATGATTTAACGATCATGCTTACATGATTGTTAAGCTTCAGGGAAGGGTCCATTATCACGCCCAGATTCTCATTCACTGCGTTAGGTCGTTCAAAGATGTGATTGAATGTTTACCTAAAAATATTTTTTTGTTGTTTTTCAGGCATTTCATCCGACTGGTACCCCAACCTGGACTGGCTGAAAGAGAGCTGCCGCATTGCTACCAGCTACAACTGGGCTGATGTGGATCTCTCCCCATTTCAAGGTTGCACATAGACACACAACAGAACTTATTTCATCCTTGGGTCCATCTTAGATACTGGCTGATAAAGCTATTCTTTGTCATCACAAAGAAAGTCAATCATATGTTTTGAATGTTCTTTGATCAAACCGTTATGATTCCACCTTTATGAGCACTCACCTTTGAAAAATACCCGTTGTTGTTACTGTCCCTGACCAATAAAAAGCATTGTCCTGCATCAGACACGTTGCCACTTTTTCTTGTGGCTCACACACAAACACGCACACACAGACTGTCTCGCACCCTCCCCAATTGTTTGATGTGAATAATCCAATTAGGTCTTGACTCCCTAACAGCCTATTATCGTGGTCAGTGCACAAAGCAGGCTACAGCCACACACAGCTGTTGAAGAAAGCTGGTCCTGTAACGCAGGCTGCTGCTGGCTCTTTCTCTTTTTGTTCTTTTATTTTTGCGGGGTTTGCAATGCTTTACTTCCCCTCACGCCACCGTCCTCCACTGTTTGTGGCTCGCCTCCAAACAGCAGGTTACAGAGCTTCTGTCACCCACAAACAGAAAGGGCTTCAATGTAATGAAGGGAAACTAGTAGACGATATTCTTTTAGCTGTGTATATGTTTTAATAAGCAATTGTAAAAAAAAAAAAAAAAGAAGTTGAGGTTCATTGTTGGCCAATTTTTGGCTTGCAATTGAATTGTCACATTAGTGACAGTAAACCATTAATCATTTCATTGTATGTGACCTCAGCTGTAGATTGTGTATTTTTATTTGGCTGATCTCAAGCTCAAGTATCTTTATTGTCATTCACATCACATGTGGTACATGAGGTGGAACGAGATTGTGTACTCACAGTCCCAGTTGCATCCAAAATAGCAACAATATAAAGTATAAAAAGAAACAGTATATAAGGATCTAAAAAAGATCCTTATATACTGAAAAAAGAGTATATAAAGATATAAACTAAGATATACACTAAATGATCGTTAAACAATACGATAAAAGGTCTAAGATATACACTAAACACTAATAATGTAAGATAATATTGTATATTAAACAGCAGCCCGAAAAATGAGTCTGTAGTGAAACATGAATCTGTAAACTGTGAGTTTATGTTCATTAAAACATTTATATTTGGTCTAAAAATGATCATGAATAAGTTAAGATGGTTTGTGTCTAGTCTGAAATAAATGAAATTGGACTTGTTACACTCAGTCATCATGCAGCTTGACAGAGTTTGAGTAGTTCTTTGGTATAGAGGGTTAAACTTGAGGAAATAAAGGTTTGTGTTAAGTTTTCTATGCATTAAACAAGAAATTTCATGGCTTCAAAACTATTAAACATAAATACTGAGCTAAGTGTTTAAAGTGAAAAGATAAACAACTACAAAAAAAACTAGATTTATACTAAAATCGGGAACATAGGTTAATTTTTATTGATGTTTTAGTGCAGACAAATGGAAAACAGCTAGTAAGAGTATTAGGTATTAGGAAGTAGGAATAGTAGTACAAGTAGTAAGTACAGGCATTTTATACCCTTCCCACACTCTTGCAATATTCTAAACAATGTTTCTAAACTCTAAACGCTGTAAAAGAGCACAGAAGGTCATGATTTCAGCTTCCTGCCTCCTGCTGAATCTCAGCCACGCCCACTTCTCTGCTCTACACAGAGAGCAGCTCATCAGCTGCAGAAGTTATCCCACAGCTGTGGGCTGCACAAATGTGCTAAATAATTTTAAATAATTTATTTTAAATAAAAATCCCATGCCAATCGTGTGACCGACCCATCCATCAATCAGCCATTGTGTGTCATGTCTAATCTTACGTTGAAAAACCGTGATAGAGCGTGTCCACAAAAAACGAACCGCGAAGTATTGAGGGACTACTGTACAAAAAAAAACTTTTCAGTTTTTTGTGGCACATAAGATAAATTCTAGGCCATTGAGTGACTGTAACGTCTCAAACTATTTTTTGTCTCCTCAGGTCTAAAGGAGTGTATGAGGCAAGCTGAGATCAACAACTGGACTTTGGATGCCGCTCAGATGGCCGACCTGTGTTCCTCGATTAACCAGTTCTTCACTGCCACAGGAGTCATCCCTCCTCAGGGTGCCTCCCACTCTCAGCCTCAAGTCCAACACGGTGCAGCAGCGTCAGCGCCGCAGCGTCCACCTCAACCACACGGGGCCATGCACCCAAAACCCAACCACCACAATCAGCACGGGCAGCACAACCAACACATCGGCACCGGTCAGTCCAATAAAAAAAAAAAAACAGCACTAATTGACTGTTATTAAATAAAATTCCAGCTTAGCTCACACCTAGAAGGTGATTTTTTGTTTTCCAATTAAAGATAAGAAAGAAGAAGGAAATAAAGCAAAAAACTGAACTTAGTAACGGTAGTAAGCAAAAAATCAGACAAGGTGTTTCAAAAGATTAAAACACTGAAGTATTTGTGTTTTTATTTTTTTTTTTTTTTTTAAAGTTGGCATTCGGTGTAATTTTCAGGGCCTGTTTTGTTGTAATAAATGCTTGAGTTAAGGGTGAATATTTTATTTTTGCTCAATATGCCATCCTTTTATATGTTTTGCACAGGAATTCAAAGAAGTTGTCAGTTTTACAGCCATTTAACTGACGACATGACAGTGATAGTGGAGCTTTCATCACTGAAGTGTCCTCTGATCCGCAACAGATTCTGGACTGTTTATCTGGCTTAGCATAAGATGGCTGCATGATGTGTGTGTGTGATCTATGATAACAGTTTGTGCTCTGCGAAGACAAATGTGTGAAAGTCGTGAAACTAATCCGACAGTTAGTCACTGCCCTTTTCTCTGTTCTCTCACAGGGAACATGTACATGGACTCGAGACAGAACATTTCTCCTTTAATGGGTCCACCCGGATATCCTCACATACCTCCAATAAGCACCACGGTACCCAACATGACAGGTGACTGCTCCTACGGGTCAGGGGAATGTGATAAAATACATAAAGATGTCCTAGCAGATGTTGCAGAAAATATAGTTTAAAGCAGGGGTGCCCAATACGTCTGTCATGATCAACCTACTGGTCGATTGCAAAGGTATTATGGGTAGATCGCATGGCATTAAAAAAATAGACGTCAGCCTATCATCCATCCTCACTATGAAATTTGTCACTTGATTGACATACAGGGCAGCCAGCCTGAGGCTTGTTTACACGACGTGAAACGTTCGGCAGTTCATTTACACGACAAACAGCCCTCATTCTCTCTGAAATTTAAGGTTTCTGAATGGAGATTTTCGAGGGGACCCTCCCCCTCACTGAGGTCTGAAATGCTCTGCTAGTGTGAAATCGCACATGTACAGTACAGGCAGCTGTAGTCCAAAGTGTTTCTGCACTAACAAGAGTTATAATAAATGGCAGAGAGCAGAGTTTTTTTTTATGCTACGCACCCTTTTTCAACATGTAGGAGCAAAACTAATGAAATCCAGTTACAAAGAGATGTTGGTGTGTTCATCAGTTTGGACATAACTGTCATGCAGACGCTGTATGTGCAATAAATGCAGCTGAGTCCTGCATCAGGGTTGCCAGATAAATTTTAGAATGTCTTATTTACCCCCTTCTTTTCTGTGCACATGTTCAACAAACGCAACACAAAGCTCATCTTAGAATATCTTTATTCAGCACATATGACAGGTTAGGTCAAAATACTATAATTTTAAAGCCACAGTACTATAGTTCATAATTTCTTATCTGGCAACCCGACTGACATGGAAACTACAGTGTTTTCGTGTAAACTCGCTCATTGAAAAAGCACTAACGTTTCCAGAGATTGCTCTTATGTAAACAGGACCTTTTAGTAGGTAGATCACTTTGACTTGGTCATCTTAAAAGGAGCTTGCATGCTGAAAAGTGTGGGAACCCCTGGTTTAAATGGGTAGTTCTGATCTATTGAAGTGGGTTTCTGTGGAAGGTTAAGAACAATATCTTACTTAAACATTTTTTACGTACAGGTCATCACAACCAGTTGAACCACCACCAGCAACACGGACTGCCTCCAGGACACTTTCAGGTGAGACGCATGCTCGCTGCTGATGACATCCAGGATGACTTTGACTGGGACTCCATTGTCTAAATGGAGAGAGGGATCTGAAACAGAAGGAGGCAGTAGAGGCTCTGTGGGACCATCTTCTTATGGAGGTGTCCATCCTGCTTTGTCCACCTGTGTGAAGGAAAACAGATGACAATCCAACTGAGAACAAATGGAAAATAATTTTTAAAATCACGTTGGACTTCTTTTTTCTAATCTTGAGCGGCTGATGAATCTAAAGACAATCATTGTTTAAATTATTTTTTTTTTTTTGCTGTGTGGGACAAATCCAGGAGGGAAACACGATGTTAGAAGAGTTACAAGTTGCCAAAGTGTTGTATTTTCTGTGAATGTTTTTTTCTTTTTATCTTCAATGTGTTTCCTGCTGCAGCTCGTGTCCTGCGTCTGCAAAGATTCTCCACCCGGGAAAGAAATGAACTGGAGAAAAAAAAAAACTTTTCACTTCCTGCAAATCAGTTGCATTTCACGCCAAGCATGTCCAGCTATTTCAGCTTTTCTTCCTTATATTAGTTTCCTCACAATGCTTGTCGCTGGGCCTCTAAAGTGCAGTGATACTTAAAAAATGAGGGGGAGAAAGATTTATAAAGCTGAGGGTTGAATGAAGCGCCACCTGCTGGTTAAAAGCGGCACAACTCATTCATCTTGAAAATAATTATGTGCTACAGTCTGGTTTTCTTCTCTCTTTCATCTATCATGTTCAACTCAGTTTTTTTAGTTTGTTGCAGATATATTTATGCCATAATTTGAAGTGATGCAGTAGTTCATAGTTCCATGTTCTCAGGGTGGAATCCTCACATGCATCGTCACATCCGTGCCATTTCTATAAATATATGAGGTTAACTGTGTGCCGTGTGGTGCTGTCAGTGTTCAGATCCTGCTGGCTTTCAGTGAGCATCTTTTTTTACGGTTGTCAAAAAGGGACAAGATCTGTATTTATAAAATTTATAAGCTAAAGCTAATAAAATACTGCAAAATAAGCTTATGAGTACCCCTAACAACAGCCACAAATTAGGATAAAAACAAGACACAGGCCCAGTCTGGATTTTTTATGTTTAAAATTTTTAAATCAAGCTTCATTTGTTTGGTATATAATGTAGTTTAATTTCTATAATAAATTTAAATGTGACCAAGTAGAGTCAAGATTTCAAGATGCCTCATTTAGAGAGAAAAAGAGCAGATTTTGCACAACGCCAAGCTGGATAGCATCTAGATTAAGAAAAAAAAAGAAAAAATATATTATATTTGATTTCTTTGTTTAAAAAAAATAGCAAAGCAAAGACAAAATGCTTCTTTGTTTTGTTTATGGTGATGTTAATTTTGTCTGTGTAAAATTGTTGTCTCTGGTTTTCTTTAGCATACAAGTGTACAGCTTCATACAGCAAAAAAACAAACAAACAAAAAAAACAATCATATAAAACAAATGCCGTATTTTTTGGACTATAAGGCACACCGGATTATAAGGCACATTAAGCGAAACAAGTTTATTTTGACAGATTTTTGAGTGTCGTGTACCACATAAAATCAACTTGAGGTCAATAAGTACGACCAGAATTAATACATAAGGTGCACCGGATTATAAGGTTCACTGTCGATTTGAGGAAATTAAAGGGTTTTATGTGCACCTTATAGTCCGAAAAATACAGTATATTTCTTTCTATTAACACTTTAAGTTTGTATATTTTCTACTGTGAAATATAGACCTGAAAGTGTTATTTGATTTGGAGGATCTCTGTGATTTTATTTTATTTTTTTCAGGTGATCAAAACGTTTCATTGTAGAGCTAGAAAATAAGTTAAATACCTGTTCCCATTTGATGCTGTACTGCAGTGACCAGCATATGTATATCTTCTATGTTTGTGTGTCGTTGTCCTTGTAAATAAGTTTGTTACTCCTCTGTTTGCCCTTGAAAATCACAGACTGATTAAAAAAAAAAAGGAAACAGCAAGCAGAGGAGCTATTTTGTAATTTGACCTTCAGGATTTGCATCATGTACATATTTTCAGTATATCGTAAATAAGTGATTTGGAGGGGGGAAAAAATACTGGCATTAGCTTTATGTGTGTCATAAATATTCTGTGTGTGTGGAGGTTTAACTGTTCAAAAATCTGTCAAGTGTTTATTAAAATGCCATGAGCCATTTTTACTGCACTGCTGCAACTGCTGCCTTTGTTTCATCAGCTGTTCCCCTGTTTGATTAGCAGCTTCTGCAGATCTTACAGCATGATGTCGAACATGTTGTTGCGTTGCCTCTAAATTCAGCAGTCTGGTTAAAATGTTATTCTACAGGAGGAAACAAAACACAAGAAATGGTATGCATTATCCACGCTCATCGCTTGTTGTCCAACAGGTGTCAGCCAAGTGCTGTTTGCTTCCCTCTGTGTGAAACTTGCACAGTGTTCAAACTGTAGTAACCGATCCATTGCCTGATTTAAAAGCAGCAGACTCCTGCTCTGTTTATATACATGTACGTTGATACTCTTATTTGATATAACGGAGTCAAGCTTTAGAACATGATGTGTAAAGTTGTTACGTAGGGCTGGCATCACGTGAAGTTCTGTTGGAGCTGCTCCACATTTAGGGTGCAGGGTTACTAAAAGAAACCAAATGACCTGATATAATATTAATAACACATTACCGTACTTTCTGCCGTACACGTCGCAACGCCGTATAAGTCGCATCAGTCCAAATATGTCTAATGAAGTGGAAAGAAAACATAAGTCGCTTCGCCGCATAAGTCGTATCTATTACGCGTCACCGCTGACCAACCAGAAACATGGGCCGGTGTTGTGCCAGAAATCAATTGGCTACCAAATGGCAGCCACTGGAGGACTTTAGCAAGCAGTTAACAAGATTAACACTTAAAAACAATTATTTGTTTGCTCAAAATTATAGCAAATGCGTGTCTCAGTTGAACTTTTTCTTAATAAATGCACTTTAATGGTCAAATCAGCTGCATTTCAAAAATTGATTTGCGGCTGCGGGAACGAGCAGAGGGAGGACTCGCTGTGCATTTCTTCGAAAGTTAACAAGATAATCACCTACAAACATTTGTTTGTTTGCGCAACATTATAGTAAAGGTGTGTCTCAGTTGAACTTTTCCTTAATAAATACACTTTAGTGGTCAAATCAGCTGCATTTCTCCTGGGCAGCGTGATGAAATGCAGCTCATTTGTTGTTTGCTCCAGGAGTTCTGTAAGGCAAGCCAAGTGTCTCATTAATAGCCACTTTTACCTATTAATGAGATACTTGGCTTGCCATATGAATGGAGCACCCTCTCGTGGCTGAAAATGGTAGTGTTCACTATTTTCTATGTCAGAATGAATAAAATCGTCAGATCTCAGTCAAAATTGGGTTATGATATGGGGGGAAAAAACAAGTCGCTTCGCTGTATACGTCAAAGTACTTGCAAATTTATGCAAAAAGGTGTGACTTAGATGGCGAAAAATACGGCACTTTAGTTTTGTAACTGCCAAGCTGTTGTGAGTGTCCTACAAGCGGAGTCACTGCTGAATTTATCTGTGTGCGTGCAAGCTGCTGATATTACAGACTTTAAAGAAGAGTCTCATATGGGGTCGAACCACCTTCCAGCCCTTGGCCAGAAGAGCCTCCTCCCAGCCCTAACCTGCCTCCTGCTCCTCAGGCCGCCCGCCCACCAGTACCAGCCCCCCTCACTCGCGCACCCTCTTCTCTCTCATGCGGTGTGCCATTCCCTCCCTCTCACCACACTTCCTCAGAGTGGTCAGAAAACCTCTCTACATCCTTCCACCTCCCTCTTATTTACTGAGCTCGTCCATTCTAACTTCCACACATTTACTCCAAGCTTGAAGCTGCTGTTTCTTTCTCCAGAAACTTCATTTTTATTTCTCACCTTTTATTCTGGGTCTCGTGTGCCCCCCTCCCTCTGGTTTGTGTCTGGAGTCACTGGTGTCGGCTGTCTGCGAGTGAGTCCAACGATTCTGACAGGAGAAAAGACCGGAGACGAGTTTTCAGCACAATGAAAGTTCAGCTGCTGCTGCTGCTGGCCCTGGTTGGCCTTTTTTGCGCCTTCGCACGTGCAAGTAAGTGTAGTCTCTTTCACTGTCCTGCTGTTAGCACACTTTGTCCCGTCTCTGCCTCCATGTGCCCTCCATACACCACTCTTTGTTTGCTTTATCCTCTGCTGAATGAATCACTTGAGGCAGCGGATTCAAATGGAGGTGAAGGAGGCTCACTTTTACTACCTGTCCACTGATCGTTTATGTCCTCCTGCTAAAATGTGTAAACATCTGTATTTGTTGGGTTTGTGTAGAACATTTACTAAAATTGCATCAGGCCGTTTAGGCCCGTGTTCCAATATTTCACTTCCACCTCAGCTGACGATTACTGAATAAAAAAAAAAGCAAAATAATTCTGTAAACAAGGTATTATTGCAAAGAGAAAGCATTCACATAAACAGTGTTCTCATTTAACAGATAACCTGTCTTGCTTTGTAGGATTTCTCACTGTTTTCCCCACAATTTCACATTTCTGAACCCAGGCAGACAAAAGGAGAGGTTGGATTTGCTGCCATGAAGAGAAAAAGATGTAATAGCGGGAGCTGCCTTGTGTCTGTAAACTCCTGGCACTGCTAAAAAGAAGAAAGGAACATCCTTTGGAAGCCTCCCAAAACAGATCCCTTATGCAGGGAGGGGTGGCTCGTGGCTGTAAACTGTAATGTGCACTGTACACTTTTCTCCAGAAGCCTTCCTCTCATTTGATTTTCTGCAGTAGCAACTTTGCATCTGGGCTCTCTCCTCATCTTTATTCCAGCTGGAATCGTTTCCCTCGCTGTTTCTTTTGCCGTCTTCTTTGTGTTCACCTCGGCTCTCCGTCCTGGAGAAACAGACGGTCACCGGCAGCGTGAGTGGCTGAGGCGTGAGGGACCGGCAGGGCAGGACCATGCTGGTTTCGCTGTGTGTATTAATAGTGAGAGACTCTATATTTAAGAAGGTCATATGGAAGGGAGAAAGGACGGAGAGACGCTGGGAGCTCTGCGAGTCGCCCCACCCATCCTGTCCTGCATCTTGGTAAACCGTTGGACGCGCCACCCTTTGGCGTTTACCCATCTTTGGAGGGGTGTCAACCTTTGCCACTTAAAATCCCCCTCTCTTGCCTCTCCCCCCTTTTGTTTGCCAGCCCTCCTCCTTTCTACACCTCTCTGTACCCCTTTCTTTTCAAAACCACCTTTATTTACGGATTACACACTTTTATATTCATACATATTTTCTGCCCCCGTCACCGTCTTTCAGCCTGATGAGCTTAACTCAAGAAGCTGGTGTAGAAGCCAGAGAAAAAAGTGAATTTGAAATATATTTACCAGCAGATGGACTTGACCATTTAATAGAGATTTTTTTTTTTTCAGGAAAATGTGGTTAAACTCTCAGAATAATGTTTAATCCTGGTGGCTGCCCTTAAGAGAAACAAAAAAAGTCACTCAGGCCTTATCCTTACTTCACAAGTGGACACGTTCCATCTTAATTTAACTACTATGTATCCTGTAAACGCCTCTTTTCTTTTACTCCTGGCCCCAACCACTACCCAGGTCTCCCTCCTAATGAGTTCTGTCTGCCTCACTGGCCCAATTACATCCTGATCACATCTGGCCACTGAGGTCAGTGCCTTTTGTTCATGCCTGCTTTTAGAAATTATTCAGATGTTGAGCTCTGACACATTCCATTAAAGCAGAAACACGAGGAGGAGCAAGCTAGTTCAGTTCAAATGAGTCTCTTTTTGACAATATGGAGGAAGTGCTCCGTCATACTTGCAAAGGTTTCTACAAGCAGGAAGAAAAATCTGTTCAGGAAAGAGGTTGCAGAGGTCGTTTGAGTCCCGATGCTCTGAAACTGCAGAAGCTTTTGCCAATTTTGGCTATAATCAGAAGCAGAGTACCTCAAACCACTTTAAGGAGAATATTTTTTAGGTCTTTTCTGTGAGCATGAAAGGTAAAACGTCATCTTTAGTCCTTATGTGCACTGCCACCTAAAACGTAAAAAAAATAAAGGACACGGAAAGCAGCACTTATCGACTCCGAGTGTTTCTATTGTGGGAGTTGAAGGTCATCAAAATTAGAGACGCACTAAAAGAGCCTTGCTTGAAAGTAAAACAATGATGTTTGAGGCATTATCTGAGAACAAAAGAAGAGAACTAGAAGAATAACTTTTTTTTTTTAGCTGTTACTGCAGTAGTTGTGTGTTTGACCATTCCTGATCTGGTTCATTACTTTGTCAAAATGCAACTGAACCTGGAGGGCACGAGATTACAGGACCACTTGATCTGATGCCAGTTTCTGCCCCTTGTGATGAAATCCAGATGGGTTCTGCTGAAAGTCCTTATCTAGACGAGGAGGAGAATAAACACCAGCTCCTACATCATGCATGCTCATTATATTGCGTTTGTGATAAGGCTTTTTGAGAATTTTCCACTTTGGCCTATCCCTCGTTAGAAATCTCCAGTGAGCTTTACGCTGTACGCCCCAGTATCTTTAGAGATGTCACCTACTGGTTTTGTGGGGGAGGGCATGTGATACGGCCTCTCATATTAGTGCTACGTCAGGAACAGGGTGTCTGTATCTTTATCATGGCCCTCCTTAAGCGTCATAAAAACATTCTCGGCCTCCAAAGGTGGATTCACTCACACTCCCCTCACAGCGTCTTTCCCTCCCACACTGAGCTGTGAATTTACACACACACACATACACACACGCACAAACATGCACACAGGGGGCCTCAGAGGCGGCTGATTGAGATTGTATCTGTGGATGGAAGCTGCTTCCTCCTGTCTGTTGTTTTGAGCTTCCCTCCTACCTTAACTCTTAATATAACTGTACTTCTGTCAGGAAAGCAACATCCTCACATGGGTGCCTCATTTCAGTTCAACCTTTATTTAAACAGATAAGTCACATTGAGCCTCGAAGACTCATTTACAAGTGAGACCTGTTTGGACAGACAATAAAAAGTGGTGAAAAATGACACACATGGTTTGGAGACAAAAAAAATCCTGACACGCTCTTAATCTTTGGTTGAAGGTCAACAGCGTGATAATGAAAAATAATCTCGCACACGAGCACATAATGATGCCGACATTACGAGGACGGTGAACAGTCAGAGACAACACACAGAGCCACTAAGTCATGTCCTGCCAAGTATTTATATTTTATTTCTTTTGCTGTATTTGTTTAAACGTTCTTCACTAAAGGAGTCATTTTCAGATTAGGGTCACCCTTCCCTTCCGGTGCACCTGGATCACTTCAGGGAAACTGTAAAACCATAATCGTTCGTGGTCACAGGTTTAACGTGATGCGTTAGCATTAAAGCACCTTTTGCGTCCATCGTTTACATAAGCAGTTGGACCTTAATAGTTTTTTGTTATTGATATAATCCATAGATTCACACACTTTTAATATGAACTGAATGGTATAATGTTAAAGATAAAAGTACTTCAGTGTCCTGCTCAAAATACTGCAAAAAATAACTGTTTTACTAATTTGCCATCCATCCATCCATTATGTTACCTGCTTCCTCCTTTTTGGGTCGTGGAGGTCACTGGTGCCCATATCCAGCCATCACTGTATGAGAGGTGGGGGGTGGGGGGGTGGGGGGGACACCCTGGACAGGTCTCCAGTCCATAACAAGGACAAAGAGACAAACAAGACAAACAACCAGTCACTCTCTCACTCACACCTAGGGATAATTTAGAGTTATCAATCAGCCTAACATGCATGTTTTTGGTCTGTGGGAGGAAACCAGAGTACCAGGAGAAAACCCACGCATGCACGGAGAGAACATGTAAGCTACCCAGAAGGGCCCCTGGACCAGGATTTGAACCGGGGACCTGCTCGTTGAGAGGCAGCAGCTCTACTAGTTATGCCACCGTGCTGCCCGTTTTACTAATATACCAATTTTTAAAACTCAGATTAAAAAGTACTTAAAATACAGACAAAACTAGATACAGGACATCCTTGGAAAAGAGATTAATAACCTCAATGCATTTCTTAAAGGTTTAAATAAATAAAGATAAAAACGATCATATCAAACAATAAAAGCTACACAAAATAGCACAAAGAAGAAGGCCAATCAAATACAGAAACACTGACAAGATCTTCAGCTTTGGTTTGAAGCTTTTATGTGCATTTGCCTTCCTGTCTTCCTGAGGAATGCAGTTCCCCATGGGATCGGACAACAAACACACAATCCCCTCGTGTTTTCAGGGAGAGGGCCAACTAAAACGTCTTGATCAGAAGACCTTAGAAGAAGATTTAGAAATGAATTCTGAATTCGATCAGAAGCCAATATAGAGACGCCAGCTCTGTAGTGATATGACAGAAAAACTTAGTGAGAAGTCCTTTTGGACATGTGGACAATCTTCGCCTAATCTGAAATAGAAAGAGTTGTAATCCTCAAAGCATGAATATAAAATAACTTTGAATTATCATTTCTAATCACTGGGAAGGTAGAAAGTGCAATTTAGTTACTATAACTGGACAGCACACCTAATATTTTATCACCTTTTCGTTGGTATTAAAAAATGAGACCCACATTTCCAGAAGATGATTTCATGTGAACAGCTGACGATCCCAGCTTTTCAGGAAAAATCGAACATTTCTGGCCAAATATCTGATTTTTATTTGACTCTGATTTAGCTGAAGATCTCAGTCAAATATTTGAGTATATTATCTACATTTCACCAGGCTCTAAGAAAAATATTGCAACCGAGATGACTCTCGCCTACTACCACGCAAATTTTAACTCCACATCTGTAAAGTGAACTGATTTATAACAATGTTTACGTGCACTGATTACTTCCTGTGAGTTTCATTGAAACCTGTTGATCGATTCATGGGATATTTGATCAAACGCTGACACGTGATCAGCTGATTTTCATGGTGGAGGCTATTCTAGATATGTTGGTAGACGTGCTCACCTGACCTCAGGGGTCAAATTCTTGCCTATATATGAACATAAGCAGCATTATCTCCCTTCATATCCACACAGCTCTTCTGTATGAAAAGACAGATAATTACATTATCTCATATCTCATACGTTATGTAATTACGAGAAACTGGGGGCAAAAACGTGCAACTATCACAAAATTACCAGTGATCGTCGAAATGTTGCGAAACAGATGCAAAAACATGGAAATTGCAATGAAATGTCAAAAACCAGAGAAGCAATAGCTTTAAAAGTGTTAGCTACGATTTCTTTACTTTCAGAATTTGGCAGGCATTTTTCATGTTTTTGTGTCCGTTTCACTTCAGTTGGACATTAGCAGCGTTTTGCACGCTTGTACAGGTTTTTGCGTCAGTTTTGCTGATTTTGGACTTTGGTATGCATTTTCCATGTTTTAACCATTCACAAGTTTCACATTTCACAAGTTTTGCAGATTGGCTGACATTTTCTATGTTTTTGCAGGTTTTCCACCTGCAAACACATAGAAATTGCAATCTATCGTAAAAAAAAAAAATGAAAAAAAATGGAGAAACCGACTCAAAAACATGGAAAATGCAATCTATTGTTAGAAGTCCTAGAAAAACCTGTAAAAGCATGGAAAATGCCACTAATATCCAAATAAAGTGAAACAGACACAAAAACATGAGAAATGACAGCCATTTTTCAAAAGTAGAGAAACTCGGGCAAAAACCTGCAAAGATATTGAAATTACCACCAAATAATCCCCAGTTTCTCATAATTACATCTAAATCATGTTACAGCCTCTCAGATTGGAATCACCGTGTCCAAAGAGTCTGTCCTCCACTTTTATGATTTCCTTCTGCCCTACTCTCCAGTCGTCTCCTCTTCATGGATTCAGTCGTCTCAAAGGCTTCACCAGCAACAAACCTATAATCTCAGGGAGTGTCGGAGTCATGAAGAGAGATGGGCAAGAAGCAGATTAGAAGGAAAAAACAAAACAGGATGTAGGTTTCAAAGAGGTAGCTCTCTAATGCAGTTTTAACCCAGAGGGGTCTGTTTGAGAACACTGCGCTAATTGTGGGAATCGGACACATAATGAAACAATTGTCGTTGGGAGGGTTGGGTGGTTACACATAGTGTGCAGCCATACACTGTGAAGCGCAGACGATTATATCATTGCTTACAGACGTGCACCCCCCCCCCCCCCCAATGGTTCTGCAGCAGTGGGAACAAATGTTTTGTTATATTTACCCTGCCTGCCGCTAATGAAACCACTGCAGGTCATTCAGGGTTATTTTTGCTCCCACAAAAAGTCCTTTTGTTATTTCAAGTAGGATGCAGTGGAGATGGAGAGACCGTGATGTCAGTGGCTAAGTTTAGACAACACTTCTCTGCTATAAAATGAAAGAACGTCTTGAGGGATGAGTAGATTTAAAAAGACTTTACTTTTCCAAAGAGAAGATGAAGCCATTTCTAGCCAACTACTTTTTTTTGGTCAGTGGAAAGTTGATTGCAGACTGTAATTTTGGTGCCCCGCTGAAGTCTGCCTCCTCACTTTTCAAGCAGTGTTGTCCTGGCTTGGCCTTCAGTTGTGGCTGGAGCTGCACTGAACGTTGGAAAATGGAGTGAGCGTTATTAGAGGGAAATGATTAGGTTGAAACGAGGTCAGGCTTTCACATTTATGTCTTTATACAGCTGGGAAGCCACTCTTCAGACAAAACTCACCATTACACAAGAAACAACAAGAAAAACTTGAAGTAGACTGATTTATTTTACATTGGGTTTCAGACACCTTTCAGTATATTTAATGCCTTATTGCATCAGCTCCTTCTTGCTTTAGTTGCTAAGGGTTAACAAAACTGTGCTTTTCTTACGTTTGAGCTTCTTCCACAGGAAATGAGGCAGAGGATGTGGCATTCCACTGCACAAAGACACAAATTTTAAAGACAGGATGGAGCGGGTGGAGGAACTGAAGGAGGATGTACATTTTGGGAGGTCGCTGGGTGGGGTGTACAACGCTGCCATGGTAACCTTGGTGATGGGGCAATTGTTTTCAGAGAGCGCGCAGGCTTTTTATCGCACCCATCTTTGCGAACTTGAGAACCCCTGTGTCAGATGCCATTTTGATTTGACAACTGTGACGATTCAGATCGGGCGAGGACAATGGATCAGCCTGCTTCAGTGTGTTGCTGCTATCATTTGAAATTCTAATTCATTCTTCTTTCATAATGCTGTGAAGTTATGGGAACATAACCAGATATCATAAAAGTGTGCGCAGCTGTCTTGCCTGTAAAGGTTATGAGCAGTGGTGGAGTCTGCATTTTTGTAGTGGGTATACCGCGGTAAAGTTTTAAGTTGGACACCGTTGAAGCCACGGAGCGCGAATGTCCAAGGTAAAACTAACTTTACCGTGGTCGGTCCGTATGCTGTGCTTAGAAACCAAAGTATACCAGTTAGTACAATGTGATCGTCAATTTATTTTCATTTTTAGGCATATTTACGATTTCCAAATTTCTCTGAATAAATCAGGGGAGTCAAACTCTGTTACAAAAGGGGGCCAAAATTAAAAACTTGGTCCAAGCCAAGGGCCGATATCAGTCAACACGTTAACTCCAGTCAGCTAGCCGACGTGTTTTCTTGGTTGCAGGTTCATCAACAAGAGTTTAATTGGTCCCATTTAATGTTCTCTGTTGCTCTTTCCACATCAAAATGAAAGATTACTGAAAAGTCCAACCTTTTTTCTGGCCTCAAATTTTACAAACTGTCCTGAGAGGTCTGCCCTAAATGAAGTAGTTAGTAGTTTTTAAAGCTAATTGAGAAACAATAATAAAATATAAAAAAACGTTTAAAATATCTTAGAGGGCCAGATATGATGTTAACGAGGGCCAGATTTGGCCCACGGGCCTTGACTTTGACACATGTGGAATAAACGAACAACAATCTTTGCACAACAGTTGTCTTTGTATTAAAAACGTGTTATTGAATTTATAAAACCGTATCAAAGCAAAACAGGTTCAAGTATTAACTAAGTACAGAAGTATTAATTATACAATAATTTGCTGGATAAGCAAATGTAATAAACAAGTGCTGATAGATTGTTATGGAAGAGTTTAACTACCATTTAACATATCAATGACACGCGTCTAATGACATGTCATGTGTCATGGGCACTTTTAAGTGGGTATACTGAAATTCTTAAGCTTTTCTAGTGGGTGTACTCAGTATACCCGCATACCACGTAGACTACACCACTGGTTATGAGAAGAAACGTTTCACCGAATGCTGAGCTCTTTACAAACACACAAGCAACAAAACCAGCAGCTTACCCTTTAGTTATTCTGTGGCCACAGTGTGGAGTAAAACTTACGCATGAAACCTCACATCCACTCTGCCAGGATAAAGGATTTGCATTAAAAATCATTTTTCTTATTATTGGTCTCCTCAGGCCCCACAGGACTTTACAGCACTGCGACAGGAGCCGAAGTCACCTCTGCAACTAAAACTGCAACAGAGGATGCTGAAGTTACCGATCCTCCTCCCACCGCACCACACACTGCACCTGAAGTTGCAGATACAACTGCACCGTCTACCGATGTCAGTACCGAAGAGAGCACAGTTGAACACGAGCCTTCCACTGATACATGGACCGCATCATCGGAACCGAACACTTTGACGCCTGCCGGCGAGACGGCAGCTCCCACAGAGGAGACCTCGACTACTACTTCACCTGCTGCCGAGGAGACCACGACTCCTGCTGCAGCTCCCACCGAGGAGTCCACAACTCCAAGTCCACCCGAGGAGTCCACAACTCCAAGTCCACCCGAGGAGACCACAACTCCCACGGAGATCGAAACGCTTACTGATCCTGTAGAGGATGAGGTCCAAACTAACATCATAGAGAAGAGCTTCACGAGCGAAGAGGTGACCGTTGAAGAAAGCAGCGAGGGTGAGAAACAGATTAGTTGAACTGATTTACAGGAATTAATACAGTAAAAAAAAAAATAGAATCTAAGGGACATTTTAAAAAAAGTGTAGTTTTAAAATAAATTAAATGACAAATGGACTTTCTTTCACAGAAGGCTTGAGCTCTGGACAGATAGTCGGGATTGTGATCGGTGCCATCGTGGCTGTGGTGATCATCATCGCTGTGGTGTTTGCCTTTGTGAGGAGGATGGGCAAATACTCGTAAGTGTTGGATCATTTAATTATCCTATCATCAATTGGTTAAATAAATAAACCCAAACAGGACATGAGAAGATCTTTCTTAGCTCAGGTTTAATCTTGCAAGATGGAGCAGCAGTTGAACAAACGAGCATCAAGATGTTACATCGCACTTCCTCTCCAAGTCCTGCTCACAGGGAAAGAGTTAACAAAAGCTTAAAAACCAGTTATCAGACAGGCGAGGTCAAGACAACTCTGCTTCACAGCTTAGGGTCTTGAGTTTATCATGTGAAAGGCTCCATGCTCCTGCAGGCTCCACTTTGCCAAGACAGAACAACTCTAACACACACACATGCTTATATAACATTTGATATTAGTAGGTGAAAAACATCCATGACCTTTACATCCCTATCAGTAAGTACCCCTCCTCTCTGAGAGGACATACATGTGTACATACAGCACACACTGACAACATGAACCAGCTGTGAATGATACATTCATCCAGTCACCCCATCTAGCTTCCTTTGAATATCGAGCCAAGCTGCACAAGCATTTAGTCACAATTTCCACAGTCCCATGACATCATAGATAATGATGTCATGGGACTTGTTGGTCTGTGTGATAAGATGATGTTGAATGCCCAACACAAACTGTGCAACATTTCAACCGTAGATGGTCTCAGGGTGGTAAAAGTATTTAATGTTAACCCAGAAAACAAAAGATCACTTCCAAGTAATTCTACAAAACACACCGTCTCCTGTGAGAATATGAACATTATATACAACTAGATAAATTGCATGCAGTGTGAATTCTTATTGCTTAAGCAGTTGCTGAACAGAACAGCTGAAATTAGCTAAAAATAGCTGAAATGTAGCTGAAATGGAAGAACAAGCCTAAGTTAGCAGAACAAAACAGAAATAACACATTTGCTGAATTAGATTTAAATAAACAGAGATGAGCACAAAAATTAGGAAATAAGCTAATAAAAAAGAAGCAGAAATTAGAAAAAAAAGGCTGAAAATAACTGAAAAGGCAGAAAGAAGCTTAAATTACCAGAAGGAAGTGGAATGAGCTAAAAATGTGGAATTAGCTGGAAAAGCTAAATTAAGCTCAAAACAGCTAAAAGGTAGCTGAAATGGCAGAAGTAAGCTGAAAGGAGCATACTAAACTGAAATTAGCAGAAAGAAGTAAATTAGGCTGAAAGTAACAGAAAGCTTGAATTAATCTGAAAACAGCTGAAAGCAGCTAAGAAATGCCATTAAAAAGTAGCATAAAGTTCAAAAAGCTTAAATTAGCAGAAGAACGCAGAAAGAACACATGTTTGCTGAAAGAAGCAGAAATTACCAAAAAAAGTGGAAATTATTAAAAAAAAGCTGAAATTAGGAACAACAGTGACAAAAAAAAATAATCTGAAAAGTAACTAAAAAGGAAGCTTAAATTACCAGAAGGAAACTGAGAGAGCATATTTTCACTGAATTAGGCTGAAAAAAGTTAAATAAGTGCAAAAAATGTGGAATTAGTTGAAAAAGCTTAATTTAGCATAAACAGCTAAATAGTAACTGAAATAGTAGAAAAGGCTGAGACTTGCAGAAATAAGTTAAAAAATGTTGTAGTTGGCAGAAAGAACCTGAAAGCAGCACAAAACTGCTGAAAAAAACCCCAGCTGAAAAAAATAGATGAAAGTAGCTGAAAAATGGTTAAATTTGCACAAGGAAGCTGAAAGAAGCTGAACCAGAACAAAATATGAAAGGAGCAGAAAAATGTTGTAAACAGGTCTAAATAATGGAAGGATGTAAAATGAACTTAATACATTTTGTATGAGACCAAAAAAAAAAAAAAAAAAAATGGCAGAAAAGGCTCAAAATGTCAAAAAAGCTAAAGTTGCACCAATACCAAATGTTGTAGCACTGTTCTCCTGAAGCAGCTGAAGGTTTTGATGTATGATTTGTTGAAATAGCACAACTACTGTGGAACGAGAAAGATGCCGAACAACGTACAGAAGAAAAATAGATCACATTCGTGTGAATACTTCATAAGCATTTACACTATTATGTTTTGAACTCCAAGAGCAAAAAGTCAAAGCAAAAAACAAGACTATGGTTTCTGTGAATTTATCATTTTATTCTCTCCTCATCAGTTTAACAAGGTTCTCTCGTCAAAACTGGCCAAACATGTTTGCATCCGTCCTTTAACTGACACACAGTCTTCTGCTCTGGAGTGAAGAATCAGGCATTCATGGTGACAAGTGGCTCTCTTTGACCTGAAAATGATTTTGTTTATTGACTCAGCGTCAGTGTGCGTGGCCAGTGGTCATCATGTAGGCTGGTGTTATACTAGAAGACTGGTTTTATCCTCAGAAACAGAGGACTTGTGTTTGTTGGAAGTGCGACTGCAAACCAGGTTGTCTTGCTTTGCATTTTAGAAACTAAAACTATTTTCTGCAATTATTGATATTAATATGAATATTCCACAACGTCATTCTGAAATCCTGATGTTTACATGTGCTAAAACAGGAAATTGAGTCTAAAAGCTTACATATAATAACTTTTTAGGGAGGGGTCACCATTACATTTGAATTATTTTGATAAAATATATAAATCTGTTACCGTATTTTTTGGACTATAAGGTGCAATATGAGTGAACGGGCCTGTTTTCATACATAAGGCGCACTGAATTATAAGCCTCACTGTCGATTTTTGAGAAAATTAAAGGATTTTAGGTGCGCCTTATAGTCCGAAAAATATAGTAATTTAACTACCAGTATTCATTATTTTTGTTTACTTGCATGTGCCTTCAAGGGGCAAAAAAAAGATCAGAAAGAACATGTTAACTTACACAAATAGAATATTTTTCTGCCTAGATGTTCTGATTGGTTTCCTGGTTTTCTCCCACAGACCTTGAGGAAAAAGCCGAGCAAGCAGCAGGATCGTGTAAAGTTCTGGAAATTTTAAACTACTGAACTGTGATGTTGGTTTTGATCCCATTTGAATAGATATATAAAAAGCACAAAACCAGAACTAAACTAATCTAAGATGGAGTCTGAACTGGTGCCAAACAAAGAGGAGCAGGAAGGTTTGTTTGTGTTGATGTATGTGATGCATGTACTGTACTGTTTGCGAGACAAGAGGGGCGCACGAGCCAACATCCTCATGCCCACCCGCCACCTCTCACATGTTAAGGAGCTGCTGACACTAAAGGCTACGCCTTCCCCCAATCCCTTGAAAACAACAAAACCAAGTGACAGCAGACAAGTTTTTTTTTTTTTTTAAGCATTTTGTTGAATAAAAATGAAGAAACAGATTGTATGAGACATGCAGAGGGTGTTTCTGTCTGCTGAAGTGGTGGAGTGACTTGACTTTAATTGCTGTTAAAGCTGGAGAAAAGCATTTAAGTGAAGAAATGTGTGAAACGAACAAAGAGGCTGGAAATCTAAATCAGGAAATACTATTTTAAATCCACAAGATTCATGTATATACAACGCAGGGGCACTACTTAGCATACAGCAAATCACTTTCTCTCTTTCTTTTTTTTTTTTTTACAGTTGCATATAGGCTAGCTTTTTGATATTAAACACTGTATATACAGGAAGCTCTTTTTATAGCTAAAACATCCCAGAGCAGCAGCTCAGTTCCCCTTGCAGTCAGAATACCTGGCATGTCGGCTGATTGTACGAAGCACGGCGTTGTTCCGACGACACGTCTGCGCTCGGAGGTGATGCAGAGCAGAAAAGGCGCCCTCATTCGCAGGAGTACCACGACTTTCTGCTCACTTTAACACAGACTCATAAAAACTTAATGCATATCTGTGAAATTCAGCAGAAGGGTTTGCGCCACTGTTTGGTATTCTCTTGCTGGCGAGGAGGATTTTAACTTTTGAAGTGCTTTTTTTTTTTTTTTTTTAGTGGGACTCAATTTTTCTACTTTTTATTGCAAAACATCGACATGGATAGCCTTTACTTCCAGCAGTTAGCCACAACTATTGTAAGTCATGAAAATATAGTTCTTCTGTTGTTTTATTACCATCCCCGCAGTCATTAACCCTAGATTGTACACACATTTATATTTAATAGCTGCACTTAAATCTAGTGCACAGTTTAAAGCAGTATTGCCTGTTTTGTTACTTTTGCAACTGTAGCTGTGTTAAATTAGTGTTTTAAAAAAAATAACTCATAATGTGTCCTTATCTGCTTTTCAGAAAGTATTTAATTTGTGCACTGAATGAGTGGAGTAATGTTTAATGAATAGGCTTTAGACTCTGCAAATGTTTGCAATGAAATGTTTTTTTTTCTTCTGCTTCACCTTTTTTATGTCTTTGATTTATTTTTGCCATCTGATTCATTCAAACCTTTTATTTAAGTGCAGTTTTTGTTCATACTGTTTCAATAAAAATAAGAAAAATGACTTTATTTCATCAAACATTCTTCTTTGTATTTTGTAGCATGGAGACAGCTAAAAGTGAACACCAGCATTGTCGGATACTGTCCAGTATAAGGCAGCCACCTATTATTATCCACCTGACAATGGTTTCTTTACTTTATATCTTACTCTTCCATCAACTTTAACGTGGCCCAAACCTCAACGTGTACCCCCACAGATGTTATATTAAAACGACCGGCTCTGCACTGTGATGTGTGTTATTACTTTTATTAGTGTTTCGAGTTAACTTGGCGACATCATTAGCAAACAAAGACGCCATTTTTCTTAGGAATTTTTCATAGACTGTGGTTGCAAATCAAATATCCAAGATGGCCACATGAACTAAAAAGGAAAAATACTGTAAATCAGCCCTTTTTAGAGATATTAAGCTGAAATTTGGTAGTACAGTAGTCCCTCGCTACTTCACTGCGCGTTAATCGCGGACTCGCTCTATCATGGTTTTTCAAAATAAGATTGGACATGACACACAATTGGCTGATTGATGGCTGAGCTGCATGATCGGCATGGAATTTTTATTTAAAGTAAATTATTTTAAACTGTTTAGGACCTCCTGCACCTTTGTGCAGCCCGTACTGCAGGCTAAACTTCCTGCTGCAGCTGATCAGCTGTTCTCCGTGCTGAGCGGAGAAGTGGGCGTGACCAAGAACACTTGCAGGTGGCGAAGAGAAGAGGAGGCAGGGAGCTGAAATCATGACATTCTGTGCTCTTTGAGAGCGTTTAGAGTTTAGAAACATTGTTTAAAATATTGCAAGAGTGTGGGAAGTGTTTTAAATACCTTTATTTATATATATATATATATATACTAAAGTAAACTACTACTTGTATTACTATTCCTCCTTTGTGGTTTTTCACTTATTGCGGGGCTTCAGGGTACAGATCCCCAACAATAAATGAGGGACTACTGTAGCTGAGACCAATGCCCAGTAAATAATGAATTAAAAATTCAAGATGGCCACAAAAGCTCATTTAAATGGTTTCAATTCAGCTATTTTTACACATTTTTAGCTGTTTTTCTTAGTTCATATCTTAGCTCCTATTACTATTTTTCTTTTACATTTTATTGTTGGATGTAACTGGGACCCCGTGTACATAATTTCATTCCACCATATGTACCACGTGGTGAATGACAATAAAGAATCTCTGAAAACATAGAGCTGAAATTTAATGTGGTTATAGATGAGAACTTTCTCCATCACATACTGAATCCAAATCAAAAATCCAAGATGGCCACCATAGTTTAAAAGAAAAAAAAAACTATATCTCGTTGATTTTTTTTGTCATTTGAAGTTGAAATTGAGTTCGGTGGTAGCTGAGAGCGAACCCCAACACATAATACTGCCAAATCAAAATTTTAAAATGGCCGCCACGTGGCAGTCCCCATCAAAGTTTCTCCAGGAACTTTTTACTTACTCTCATTCTTGTGACCGTTACTCTCATGACTAAATTATTATTATTTTTTATTTCCAAAGTGAAGGAAGAAAACGTTAACAAGCTGCCCGGGGCAGTGTCCAACTGCCCTCTCTGCTTGGCCAAGTCAAACAGTGATTCAAAAAAAATGAAAAAAAAAAAAACGGAGGAAAGAAAATCCCCTTTCTAAGCAGACGAACAGCACCAAATATGGAGGACGCGTACGCTCAAGAACCGTTGAGACAGTTGGGCTCTCTGACAGCGAGGTGTGCTGTTTGTGCCATGTTGTGTTAAGCTGAGGCCAAACTCACAGAGATGCTGTGTCTGGCTTCTGGTCCTCCGTGTGGTTTTAGGCACCGACCCAACACACCTCCAACACCCCCACCCGAATCTCTCTACCCCTCCAGGGAGCTTCATAACTCCCATTTAGCTCTCTCTTTTTTCACCTCAGACTGGGAACAATGGAGTCTTTTGAGAGGGGCGAACGGAGAGGCCGTTGGGCTCACTCTTCCCTGCAGCACCGGGGGATTTCTGTACGTTGCTGGCGGGTGGAGTCACTTCCTGGGTGGGCCCAGCATTCATCATGTGCTTTTTACACACACAAGCCATAGAAATACTCCAATAAAGAGTAAATAATTAGCTGTGCAAATGAAAGCAGCCTATTAAAACAAACAAATAAACAAATGGAAAAAAAGGCATGTAGTAGTGAAATGTTGTTAAAGGTGCTGTTCTGGCACAGATTTGGTGATTTACTAAAACCACAATGTTAAGAGCAGATTTATTATATTATTAAGCATCCCTCAAACGATCTGACATCATAAAGTGAGAAGACTGAAAGTCTGTGATGGATAAATAACTATTTGTTTTGTTCTACTAAAGAACATCAATTTGTCTGTTTTTTTACTGTTCAGTCTGTGGCAAAAATAAAAAAATAAAAACTTTGAGCAGAGATGTTTTATATACAAACAAAAGTAAGAATTTTATTTATGCTGATGCCCGTTCAGCAGTATTAATTCTGAATTTACAAATAAAGCCCTGAGTGTGCAACAATAGTCGTACAAAGCTGACAATATCTGCTGAATTCAGTTACGAACACAATCATCCATCCACCCATCCATCCATCCATCCATCCATCCATCCATCCATCTGCTTTTTCCTTTGCGGGGGCCATTGTTGTCCATGTCCAGCCATCACTGTGCGAGAGGTGAGGGACATCCTGGACATGTCTCCAATCCATCACAGGGACATAGAGACAAATGAGACAAACAACCATTCACTCTCTCACTCACACCTAGGGACCATTCAGAGTTACCAATCAGCCTAACATGCATGTTTTTGGTGTGTGGGAGGAAACCGGAGTACTCGAAGAAACCCCACGCATGCACAGAAAGGCCCCCAGCTGGAATTTGATCCAGCAACCTTCTTGCTGAGAGGCAACAGCTCTGCCAACTGAGACACCGTTCAAAAGTAATGACTTTATGGACCAACTTTCAGTATTTTGAAGAAATGAACAAATAGGACACGATACAAGCAGCACGTTCAGAAATGATTTAATTGGAAACTCAGAGAGAGTTGGTACCAAGTCTTATGGAACATGAGATTTTTGTGTTTCCTCCTCAAATACACTGTAATGATTAATTTCAAAAAGAGGATTTGAGCATGTGCAAAGTGCCCAAGTCTGCTGTCTGAAACAAACAAGCACAAATCATCACCATGTGCTTCTCATTTTGGACTGAGGTGTTTTTGCTGATTTACTGGATTAAGATTTTGCCGAACATGGTGCTGCACATAATGTCCAAACATTCCCATTCCAGCCATTTCCATCTAAAAAGACACTTTCAGAAGTCCTCTGGTTGATTTCAGACATGAGTTAACCCTGAGCCATGCGTCGTCCTTCTAAAGAAGCCTTTTAAACCGTATGAAGTCTTTTCAGAATCATTTTAATATAAACTTAAACTTTTAACAGACTAAATCATCAGAATCTGAAACTTTACTTGAGTTTCTTGCCATTTCTTTGAGGATTGCACGCTTTTACATAAAGAACATTCTCACCTTGAATATATTAACTTTTTTAGTCATATAAAAAGGTTTTGGTGATTTGAACTAGGGATGCACAATATTGGATTTTTGGCCAATATTTGATATACCGATATGTTAAATCTTATTTAGTCGATAACCAATACCTATATTTTTAATATACTTTGTCAGAACATTCAGAACATAGCCCTCTTATTTAGGCTTATTTGCTACAAAAGTTGTGCAACAGCTGTAAGAGCTGGTGACATATGTTCAGTAACAGCCATATGATACGCAAATCACTTTAACTTATATTAAATGAAAAGTGTTAAATGTTATTTATTAGCATTAATCACCTGCGATGCTGTCTCACCTGTGGAGGCTTGTTCCAGGTTCCTATAGCTGCAGTGTGGGGAACTCTGCACTCCTGTGCATGAAGGACAGCCTGTTTAAGTTCAAAGTTTTTGTCTTTCCATTGTGCTGTAAGACTAATCACGCTAACGGGGCTAACACGACGTCCAAATGTCTGTGGTAAAACTCACCCAAGTGCTATTGGTTATTAGCTTCTCAATGACGTTGGAAATGACGGCTTGTAACTCGGGTAAGGCTACGTCGGAAAAATATCTCAGAATGGGGACGATGTAGCGAGGCTCA